TGCACAAGTTTATAAAGGGAAGTACTTTCCGAGGGGAAGCTTTCTTGAGGCGAAGGCTCGTTCCCGTCCCTCCCGGGGGTGGCAAAGTATCCTATTTGGGCGCCAATTGTTGAACCAGGGGCTACGGTGGCAAATTGATAATGGTCAGACGGCCCCGTTACTTGAGAATAGTTAGGTTTCGTGCCTGCACCCGCTAGTCCCTACGTTTAACCCCTGTGTCTTTCCCGCTGATGGGGAGTTGAGGGTTGCTACTACTATCAATGCGGAGGATCGCTGCTGGTGTGATGCTGGTCTGGCTCAATGGTTTGATCCTCCCACTTGTTGTGCCATTAAGGAAATTCCATTACTTCGTGGTAATGTTGAGGATCGGTTAATGTGGCATGGTACATCGGATGGGTCATTCACGGTGAAAAAAACATACCATCTGGCTGTCCGTTGGACATGAAGGATGGCCGGTGGCGTTCATTAGCCAGTTGGATGGATAGGTCTAGATGGATCCGTGTATGGGCCACTCCCATTCCTCCAAAACTGAGGGTCTTCCTCTGGCAAATCTTCAACCGACTACTTCCTACTACATAAGCTCTAAGAGAAAGGAAGGTCCAGGTCCATCCACGTTGCCCGGTTTGTTGGGTTGAGTCCGAGACCTTGGAGCATTTGTTTCTGGAATGCTCTATGGCGAGAGCTCTATGGGATTATGCGAGGTTGGAGTACTTGGGCCAGGGGTTACCTCGTCACACTTTTCCTTTGTTCCTAAAGAGGTTGATGAATATCATCCAGCAAGACCAACTGTTTATAGCGGTTACCGCTGTCCTTTGGCAAATCTGGTGGTCCCGGAACTAGGTCGTCTTTGAAGGTAAACAGTTTGGCATTCCAGCTTTAATGCGGCAATATCATCAGCAGTACCAGGAATGGATTAGCTTTCCGGTTGATAGATCTCAGGGACCTCCGACTCCCCCGGTGGTGGATGTTCCTGACTGCCCTATAATCTGCATGTGGGATGGGGCGACTCAGTCAGCTTCCCATTCGGCCAGCGGTATGGTGGTCAAAAGTCAGACTAGGGGAATTCTCATGTCCAAAGGACTTTAATTCAGTGGAATCTATGACCCATTGGTTGCTGAAGCTCTAGCCCTCCTGGAAGCGATACTCTGGTGCCGGGATTTTGGATTTGAGGCGGTGCGCTTTGAAGGGGATGCTAAGGTGCTTATTGACAAGATCAACCAGTCGGATGCTAGGGATAGCCGAGTTGGGGCGCTTCTGAAGGAAATTATTGGTGTTATAGGGTCGCTGGGAGGTTTTTCTGTGCGGTTTGTGGGTTGGCGTAGTAATAGGGTAGTCCACTTGGTGGCTAAAAAGGCCCTTCATTTGTACCTGACTGTGAGTCGTTATTTTGATTTTCTAGCCTGGTTAAATTCCAGGATGTAACTATCTATGTTTCTGATCAATATATCGATTATCTTTTGTCCAAAAAAAACAGCATCAAAACGGAATAGCAAGAGAGGAAAATTGCAAACTAGAGTTGTTAGAAAGCAACACTAAATCAAGGAGTCAGTTGAAGAATATCAAGAGAAGGAAACCGATGTTATGAGCCAGTTTCGTGATGAGACTCCGGCGAAAGAGCTTCGTGATGGGAATCTAGCGGAGGGGGTTTTTAGGTTATTCATTTGCAGGAGAGAAAATCAACTTAGGTTGTCGCTGAGAAGTACATCGAATCTGGGGGTGGTATTAAACCTCGACAAGGATTTGAAAAAGGAACAAAGTCGACTTTGTCAGAGTAGAACATCGACATAGGCTCTTTAATTTACAAAAGGATAGGGGATTACAATCACTAATTGCGGGAATGAGTCTCGTAGTGATAGAGCACGCTCACGCGTAATCGAAGGCTAGTAGTTTTGGATGAACATACATTTGCAGGGCAGAAAGAGGTAGTGTGTTGGAAGAGGATAGAAGAGAGAGTTTTTCTTTGTTGGAGGGACCGCTTTATTTTTCGTGATATACCTTAATCAAATAATAAAAAAAGGATTTAAAAATAAAGAAAGTGGTGAATGACTGAAGGACTATTTCGTTAGTTTGAAATACATAAGTTACCATTTTATTAAATATCAAATATAAGTAGCCATTCTATTGTCTTCTTTATTAACTCTAAACACAAGGATTGTAAATAGGCATGACAATACATCTACCCATTGTGTAATTTGACCCAATTGTCATGACCCATAGGCCATAAGGGTATTAGGTCAGATGTGAACTGCTATTTGACGCTCGTATATTTACTATTTTCCGCCCATAATTTTACTTGAAAATTATATTTTTACCCTTTTATACTTGTGGAAACCCTATCCCCACCAATCAACCAACAGCCGCCGAAACTTACCTCCCTGACTCCCTCACGCCGGAGAAGTTCGCCGCCGACCGCAAACCACCCTCCCGTCGTCTTTCCCTCTGCCTGTGATCGAATCGTCATCTTCATCCTCTGCCCAACGAATCATTGTCTTTGTCGTTCCCTATCCTTGGTGTCCGCTTGGCGTTCACCATCGTTGTCGTCTTCTTCTTTCCCTAACCAAAGTCCAGCACATATCGAAAACAATAACAGGACGGGAGGGAGAAGCTAGAAGCTCTAGTTTCATATCCGGAAGCGTCGTTTACCCTGCAATTTACTGTCGTCGGCAGGATTGGTCCGACGCCAGAGTTCGGACGGCGTCCGAAACCAGATGGCGGACGGCGTACGAAACTCCAAGTCGGACGGTAACTGTTTTTTCCTTCATAAATCGTTTTTTAATTATTATTTAATTAAATAATTTTAAAATACCATAATTAGGATTTAAAATTATGAATTATGAATTCTATTCCTGCTTTCCTTATTCCACCCAATATTTACGACGAGAATTTTGATTCCCTCAAGACATACGTCTAATTGTATATAAATATTAAATTAAATAATTATAGAATACCAAACTTTCCCTAATTAACCAATGATTGTAATTCTCTAATAAGGGCCGAACAGACTTCGTCCCAGATAAGACAATAACCGACATCTAATTCTATTTTCCTAATTAACAATCTAAAAATTTCCTTAATTAAAACACATTAAAATTCTAATAAATTCGTTTACACAAAAGAAAGGAAATCAACGTCTAATTCCCAAGTCTAATTCCATTTCCTTCATTGGTTAGATGAGCTAAAGGAAAGCAATTAATTAAGACAAAGTTCAAATATCGTAGAATGATTATAGTAATTTAAGTAGCTTAATATGTATTGAAATCTGCCATAAAAAAATTAATTGTTAATTATTATAGTAATATTACATTATTCAAAATTATTTATTATATAGTCTAATACGTGTTAACTTTTTTTAACAAAGTATAATAGTAATTTAAAATCGTAAACCCTAAACCCCCCTTCTACACCTTCTACTCCCCACAAACCCTAAACCCTAATTCCCATCATATAGTTAACTTCAACCTCAATCCATTCAATCATACTACGATATTGTCTTAGAGCTAAAATCGTCTCTTCCTACACTAATAACAATCGTTCACATCATCGAAATATGCATGATAGGGCCAAGAAATTGCTTGTTACCACCTCTAGAGCCCCAAAAATCTCGATGAAAGTTTTGACACTATTCATACACTTTTGCCCCGGACGTCTAATCGAGAAACGGTCAATTCCATCATGTTCATATCTACATTTTAGTGATAAATAATAATTTTGTACAATATGAATTATTTCTGATAAATAATAATTACTTAAAAACCATATAACTAATTTAATAAGTATTTTATAGTCATCCTAACTAATTTAATAATTTTGAATAATTATCTCGTTAATCACTACCAATATAATTTAACATAATTATGCGGTAAAAAATTTAACATAATTATAGTTTTTTTGCGATAAACATAATTTTAGTTAATCTACCAACATCTTTCCTAAATAACAATAATTTTCACTTATCCACCGCATAATCCTTTTCTTACTATCATTTAATATAATAATAAATTATAATGTTAATCTCTTTCTCTCTCCAATTAACCTCCCTCAAACTTCTATTCCACTCCCAGTTTTCCTAATTAACAATAGAGAACTCCTTTCGCTAATTAAATCCTTAATTTTTAATTATATTTTTTGATAACGGCCATTAATGATTCCTCTCTTTACGTGTTTACCGCTGCTTTTACTTTTTTGCAATTAAATATTATTTGTTAGGTAAAGCACTTAAGTAATTAACAACAGAGAATTATAATGTTAATCTCTTTCTCTCTCCAATTAACCTCCCTCAAACTTCTATTCCACTCCCAATTTTCCTAATTAACAACAGAGAATTCCTTTCGCTAATTAAATCCTTAATTTTTAATTATATTTTTTGGTAACGGCCATTAATGATTCCTCTCTTTACGTGTTTACCGCTGCTTTTACTTTTTTGCAATTAAATATTATTTGTTAGGTAAAGCACTTAAGTAATTGTAAAATTTAAGAATTAATTGTTAAATTATGAATTGCAATTAGTGCTAATTTAGCGTAGTGTTCAGTTATGGTTTCGTCTGTTCATCTCTTTCTCTCCTCCCCAGAAACACGAACCAAGAAATAAAATGAAAAGAAGAACAAAAAACCCTAGCTCCTTCAATCGTCTCTACCCTTCTTCCTCCCCCTCTCAAAACTGACTTCTACTTTCCCAAATCCGAAAATTGAACAAAAACCCAACCAAAAAAATACGAATCCCCTTTCTCTCTCTCGCCTCTCTCTCTCTCTTTCTCTCACGTTCTGGTGGCGGCGAGGAAAAAGTAAAGAAGATTCAAGCGACGGCGAGGAAGGAGAACCGCCGGCGAATGATTCCGGCTGCAACGACGATGATGGAGACGAATGTAAAGGTCGTTTTTAGGCTTGCATGTTCGATTCAAATGCTCGATCTAGTTGTTTTAGGGTTCTGATCCTGTTTTATTTTCTTTTTATTAGGTTTTGTTGTGAATTGGGTAAACTTTTGGGTTCTGAACCCTTTTGATTTTGTTTCGTTTTGGGTTTGTTCTCAATCGAGGGAAGGGAGAACGAGGTCGCCGCGGTGCAGAGATGGACGAATCAAGGTAATTTTGGGTTGCATGTTTATCTTTGGCGGTTTCTGATTGTGTTTTTTTGTTTATGTTTTGGTTCTCGCCGAGAGGAGAAGCGGACGTGGGGTTTCAATCGATAGCGGGAAGATGGAAAGGGAGCATCCACCGACAATTCCTGCTGCGGCCGGAGGTGTTGACGACGGAAAAAGGAGGCAGACCCTTTTTTTATGGTAAGTTTATGGGTATTCTTTATTTTTTATTTTGGTTTGTTTTGAACTTGGGATATTCTAATCCGATTTCGCTCCTTGCAGGTTTGGGATTACGTACGATACTTGGGTGAGATATCCTATACCCTTGCAGATTTAAAGTATTGGTATGGATTTGGAATGGATTTTGGTTTATGTTTGATTTGCTGATTTCATGGGTTTTAGATTTGTGTGATTATGGTGTGTTTTAGCTTGAAACTTGGTATGGTAACCAACGTGATTTAGGATGGTTTACTTAGGGAGTTGCTAATTGTCGCCCTAATTTTAATAAATCGCCCTTACTTATTAATTATTATTACCTTTTATCCTTCTCATTTTTTATTGTTAAAAATATTTTATTCTAACAAATAAAATCCAGTCGAACAGTTTTATACTAACGTTGGTTTAGATTTCCACTTTTCCACCACCGCCGACCCTTACCCTGCCGGCCGCCACCATGTCAATCGAATGAGATCCGAACAGAAGAACTTGTTCTTCAGTGGAGTCTCCACCCATCGCCTCTCATTTTTCTCTATGTTAATCTCGCAGCGTCCCTACTATAATCCAAAGCAGAAAACAAACAAACCCATCATGAAATTGATCATTGGAGAACGCTACGCTGAATATCAAAACACATCTCCGACCCGAATTTCATAACACAGTAATTTCAGAATAGTTGGAGATTTTTTAGCATCACTGATGCTAGATCTAGCGAAGAAAGAAGTAGGGGGAAATCAAGACCTACTTATAGCGTTCTGCTGATTAATAAATGGAAAGAAGTCAAACTAGCCAAGTGAGCGACAAACAGGGGGAAACTCTATCGCGGCAACGGAGTGTGTCAGCCTGTCAGGTAACTCTTGTTGGACCTCATGATTCCAATGGCGGGATTCAGAATGGTGTTTGAGAGAATAGCAGTATCACCGTGTAAGCAAGAGGTCGGGGAAGTTGGGGGATGAAGGACAATTTAGTAATATTATGTTTTAAGTTAGGGCGATAATAGTAAAACTAGGGCGATGTTTAGCCGCCCAGTTTACTTATCGTTTATCATCTCATGAAAAAAGAGAAACTTTGAGTTTATAATAGAGGGGGAGCCCTTAAACAAAAACGAGGTATTCTAAAATACCTCTCCAGAATTGTTCTTGCTGGGGTTTGTTGGACTATTTTAACGAGCAAAAACCAATCTGTGTTTCTTTTTTAGAATAGTTTCTTTTAACATGATATTAAGCATATAAAAGGACAAATACATATATGTTTTGTTGAGGAATTGATTATGATCATTAGTATTAAAACAAGCTTATCGGGATCAGTTAGACAAATAAAATACTAGAAGTAAAGAAAGGTAAAGTAACAATAGCAATAGAAACAGAATCATAGAACCTTTTTGTTGTTATGTTGGTGATTAAAGAAGCATATTAAGTTTAAAAAGTTTCTTAAAGAAGCAAGCTTTTCCTTTGTTATACGTGAATGGTATGGGGTGATGATGATGGTTATTTTAGTTAGGGGTGGCTATACGGTCCGGTCCGGTTAAATTGGCCCGAATTGATCCGGTCCAGTCCGGTCTTTTTGAAAATATAGGGACCAAAGCTTGGATTGGGTACAGTCCGGTTTTGACCCGGTCCGGTTTTGACCCGGTCCGGTCCCAATCCGGTTTTGACCTGTTTTGACCCATTTTGACCATTTTGCAGAAAATTCAGCAGCATATACCCATTTTCCTGGAATATAGACAACCTGTTTGTAGCAAAAATCAAGCCAAACATGGTCCAATACAAAATCACAACCATCAATGATGTCTATTACAAACTCAAAGTCCAATTCAAACTTCAAAATAAAATAAAGTGCATCACAAGTTCACAACCGAAGTTTAGATATCAAACACCAAATTCACTTCAATCTAAGAAATCCACCAAACCATTTCTACTCATCAAGAGAAACAAATGAAGCATTAGATCCACCTCCTTGATTCGTTCCACTCCTCGAACCAAACACATCACTCCCTCCGACATTGCTCGTACTTGTACCTTCATGTCCACTCACATGGTCACGCCTTTCCGCCTCATCCACCATAATAGCATTGTAAACTAAATGACATGGATCAAAAAAATATAATTGTTAGCAATAGCATTTACATGACCAAAACTAAAAACTACAAAGTAATTTACTTACCACTCACGAAGTCTTCTTGATCCTCATAGTCATCATCATCACCATTAAGATGCTCCACAAACTCACTAGAACTTGATCTAATCCAATCTTGACTGCATATGAGAGCTTCCACAATCTTAGGATGCAAAGAGCTCCTAAATTCATCTAAAACACGCCCACTTGTGCTAAAAACGGACTCGGAAGGAACGGTTGACATAGGAATAGCAAACAGATCCTTTGCCATCTCACTCAAGATGGGATACCTCATAGCATTCGTCTTCCACCACTTCAACACATCAAACTCTTCTTCAGCATCATCATATTCTCGAGGATGAACAAGATACTTCTCCAACTCACTCTTAGTATGACCAGTTTGAGGTTTTCCATAATCATCATCAGGATCATAATCATCATAAGAATCATCAGAATCACTAGCCGACCTCGGTGAACTTGAAGTGGCAACTTGTACTCGACGTTTTGGAGGAGAAGAAGAAGAAGGAGGAGGCATCTTACTCTGATAATATTCAAACAACTTCTCGAGTTCATCATTCAACTCTTTCACCAAGACTTTTGCCCTTTCCTCTCCACACATCTTCTTGAAAATATGATCCGGATAGTTCATCTTATGCCTCGGATCAAACACCACAGCCATGTAAACCAACCTGTTCAATCTGAAGTTGACACAATCCTTCTCCGACCAATATTTGTCAACTTTAGCCTTCATCTTCATACCCATCCTAACTATGTCATCATCCCTGCTATTCATCATTTTCTCAACATGATAGAAGACCTTTCCAAACTCTCTCAAGAATCGATGAGCAGTCACAACAGAAGTAGTGGATGCAATCAAAGTCAAATCATGAAAGAATTTCAAATACTTCATCAAAACTTTTGCATTCTTCCAATCTTCATATTGAGGGACACCAATTTCTTGATTCTTGTACCTCTTTGCCTTGAGCTCGGGCTTGTAATCCTTATCCTTCCTCTCAAGACTAGAGAATGCATCTTCAAACACCACAGCAGCTTCAAGCATGTAGTAGGTGGAATTCCACCTTGTAGGCACATCTAGACTCAACATCTTCTTCGATTCAATGTTGTGAAATTCCACACACTCCTTGAACTTTGCCAATCTAGATGGTGATGATCTAACCCATCTCACAGCCTCTCTCACCCTCCTTATTGACATGCCCATCTCTTCTAAACCATCGCTCACAACCAAATTCACTATATGAGCGATACACCGCATGTGAAGGTACTTTCCACCAACTATATTAGTACCCCATTCTTCAAGTCTATCTCTCAAATGAAGAAGTGCCGTGTCATTTGCACTTGCATTGTCAACTGTGACTGTGAAAATATTTTTCAAACCCCAATGCTCCAAAGAATCAGCTATTGCATCACCTAGATCAATCCCCTTATGACTTGTAATCTTGCAAAAACTGATCACCTTCTTGTATAGCTTCCAATCCTTCCCGACAAAATGTGCAGTAATGCACATATAGTTGAAATTTTGACAAGAAGTCCAACTATCTGTAGTTATGGACACCCTTCCTCCACACTTGATCTTGAAGTAATCTCTCAACTTGCCCTTCTGTTCAAGAAACAATCTAAAACAATCTTCTCTAATTGCTTTTCTGCCTGGAATCTTAAACATCGGACAAGCAAGAGCCATGAAGCGCTTAAAACCTTCTTTCTCCACACTCTTAAAAGGCATTTCATCAAGAATTATCATTTCAACTAACCCAGCTCTGATAGACTTTTGATCAAATTTCCAAGTCCCCAAAACTCCTTGCCCTTCAACAGAACTTGGATTGAGTTCTAAATTCAACTGCTTCCCCTTTTCTTGTAGTTTCTTTAAGCACCTTATAGTATGTCTACCCAAAGAACTTGTACCATTTCCCGAGGGATCCCCAGCCAATGCCTTTGCACAGTAATGACACTTTGCCTTCTTCTTGCCTTTATCATCTATGTAACAATCATAATGATTCCATACAGGTGATCTTAACGTGTACTCCCTACTGCTCTTATCTGTTACAGGTGTTGTTGTGGTGTTGGTAGCTGCTGGTTGTTCTTGTTCTTGAGTTGTAGCAGCTTGAACATTAACATTACCACTGTTATTCCCACTTTCAACGGCTGTCTTTGAAGCTTGCGGTTGTGATCGCTTCTTACTAGGAAGAGGAGGCAAATTATCACCTTCTCTTGCTGCCGGTACTCGCTTCTTAGTACCCTGCACAATAAATTTAATTCATTGAAGAACAAGCAAAAACTAATCAACAATAATCTCATCCAACCTTAGTACATCACATTTCACCATTCAATTCATCACTAATTAACTAAAATTACTCATTAATAAAGTAAAACTACTTACCCAGCTGCTGCTCCCCTCCATTTCTCTGAGTTGGGCGGCTGTTCCCCAATAATCGAAGGAGGGCGCCGAGATTGGACAGAGGGTCGGAGGCTTTTGGACGGCTGGTTGAGAGCACTGCCTCGCTGGTCGGAGGCTTTTGGACGGCTGGTTGAGAGCACTGCCTCGCTGGTCGGAGGCTTGGAGTGGAGGGCTGGAGGCACAGTCGTTGCTTCGCGGGGGGAGAATCGGAGAGACAGTCGACAGTCGCGCGGAGGAGAATCGGAGCGGATGAGGCAGGCGCGACAGTCGTTGCTTCGCGCGGAGGAGATTCGAAGCGGAGGTGGTGGGCTGGTCGGCGGTCGCGGTCTCGCGGTCGGGGCGCTGGCGGCTGGTCGCGGTCTCGCGGTCGCGGAGAAGCACTCGCTGGGTCGGCGGCGGCTGCTGTGCGAACTGCGAAGTTGGGATGGGAGAAGGAGAAGTGATGGTTGGCTTGGCGAATGGCGAATGTGGAGGAGAGTGCGACTGCGAACTGCGGTGCACACTGCTGCCGAGTCCGAGTGTGAAGTGTGAACGATGGAGGAGACTGGAGAGGGTCGGGCGACTGGCGTGACTCGTGAGGCGTCTGGGCAACCCTAGTTGCCGATGGACATTGGACTCATGGACTGGGCCGGCTGGGCCGCTGTGGCCTGTGGATAGTGACTAGTGAGAGTGGGCTTGTCTTGGCCCATATGGGCTTTGTCTTTTGGGTCTGGTCTGTTTTTTATTAATCCGGTCTTCCGGTTTTTACACGGTTTTGACCCGGACTGGATTGGTCCGGTTTTTTTGCTAATTCTAAGACCAAAGACGGGATTGGATTGTTTTACATCCGGTCCCGGTCTTAAACGGTCCGGTTTATACGGTCCGGTTTCCGGTTTTTTATCCGGTCCCGGTCCAAATGGCCACCCCTAATTTTAGTGATGGAAGTGACCCACCTTGCTCTCTGTGATTGGGATGGTGGGAGGTGGTGGCCTTCTTTGTTGATATGGGTCTGACCCAAATTAGACCTTTAATTAATTTTATTTATTTATTTATTTTTATTTTATTTATTATTTTTTTGCAGGCCTATTTTCTAGATTTTTAGGGCCCAAAATGATAACCTGAGAAAACCAAATCCAAAGAGGACGGTTCTCAAAATCTGATTTCGCCCTAAAGTTTTAAAACGAAAGAAAAGTTTTCAAAACATTGGCCTCGTTAGTTTCTTTTATCTTTCTATTATTGTAATTAGTTATGATGTAATCCTTATGACGTTTGTAATTATCTGATACTGTATGTTAATTTCAATTGTTGTAATGGCTATGTATGTTTACCATAGACGTGATTTGTTTATTAATAAGATAATATTATTTCAAATTTAGTTTGTCCTTTGTAAAGCGATACCCCAAACTTGATACTCCAAACTCGAAAGCCCAATGTCCAAAGATCACGAACCAATCAAAACAAACTCAAACCACAAAGATAACGAAATAAGGTGATTGCCTACGAATTTTATCCCAACAATCGGCCTAGAATCAAAGGAGATGAGATTTCAGTCGTAATAACCTCTATTTAAATTGGAATCTTAAGACTTGCTATTGCTAATTCCAAAGATCCAAATTACATATTCTTATATCCTTATGCTAAATATTTTGAGAATATTTTAGTAGTTCATCCAAGATTAGCAATTGCCTATCTTAAATGAGTTAAATTCTTAAAAATTCAGCATATTTTTGCCCGGACAAAATGGGCTGTCTACATGGTCTAAACAGCTTTTTGGACCAACGGTAACACTCTCTAGCTACCATAGTGGTAGATGGTGATAGACGATGGTAGATGGTAATCAATTTATAAATTATTACATTCTACCATGATATATATTATCATCAAAAACTTTGATATTCCTATCATCATAATACACTTTCATACCACCATGGTATATTACGGTAAAAAATATCTTGCTTAACATCTTATTTTTTATTCATGATATATCAAAGCGGATATCATTTGGTAGAGCATAACCAGTTTAAGTAATTATAGAAACTTCTATATTTTATCTTCCTACTCTATATAGAAATAGAAAAACGAGAAAGCAGTACCAGTAGTGATGGCAATGGGGCGAGGCGGGGCGGGTACCTCAATACCCATGCCCCGCCCCACGCTATTGATGGTCAGGGCGGGTAAAATTCACATAGGACGAGTTGACCCACTCTTACATGTTATTTGAAAAATATATACACAAATTTTACTTTTTACCATAAAATGAAGGGGAAAACACTTTATAAATGAAAAATATTGATAATAGAATGGGTATTTGAGTCTAACAAGTTGAAAGATCGGCTCTAACTAGTTGAATAAAAGTCAAAATTGGAGAAATATGATAGATACTATAAGAAATTGAGATAGAATGGACCAAGAATGTGACGGGGCAGGGCAGGGCGGGTCGGAAGTAGATACCCATGCCCCACTCCATGCTACTGCGGGTCGGGTACAAATTTCCATCGCTAAGTACTAGCTTCTCGCCAACCGCGCTTACTGGTGATTATCGATTCTTTTTCTCGAGAGCTTTCATTCACTTTAGAAATCCCCCCTTAATGCATGCAAGTTTTAAGGTAACTACCTTTATTATTTCAATAAAAAAAGCCAGCATCAAAGCTCTTCGTTTGGCATGGAATCTTTTCTACTAAAGCTTATTGTGCAAAGTTTGTTTGTTCATATAGTGTGAAAATAATCGAAATTTGAGTTAAAATAAGGGTTAATAGCATTTTCTACCCCTCTGTTATGATAAGTTAACAAACATACCTCTTTACTAAAATTTTGCACAAACATACCCTTCTAGTATTAAAATTAACAATTTGACCTCTCCATCTAATCTCCTCGCCGGCCGTTGGAGTAAAGAGAACCGGCGAGACTAGACGGCCATCTTCCCGAATTTCCCGTGACGTTCCAACTCCATATGTACCTCCCTTCAATCACACAACAAAGCCAGCTTCCCGGACTTCTCCCCGACGTTCCGACGCCAACGCTTCCCGTCGATCCATCTACTCGGCTGCCACACCTCTACTCAGCTTCTCCCGTCGATGCCAGCTTCCCCATTGTTCCAACTCCATTCATTTCTTGCTTAGTAAGGTACACTCTCCTTTTGATGTTCATGTGCTATTTTTTCGTTCGTATTCCCTTAACCCTTATCTCTTATGTTGGTTGCGAAAAAGGATATTTACTCGGTTAGGCCAAAGAAAAAGGGATGGAATGATTTGTTGGGGTCGTTCATAATTAAGTTCCATAAGTTTTCCTATTACAATGTAGGGTTAGGCCAAGGCTATTTGATGGAAAAAGGATTTTTGGGTGACTTCATCTTTTGATTTTGTTGCAACAATCATGACTATCAATGGTGCAAATGTAAGTGCAGTTTGTTGAGGAGTGACGTGTTGTCCTCATGTGTACATGATAAAACATGAGGAGTGGTTATGTAATTATGTTTCCTAGCCCTAGTAGATTTCGTGAAATAGGAGCTAGAGAAACATATATATATATATGGTTCAGACTAGCGTACACCTGACGTGCGCTGTACGCCTGTGTTCACATTTGTTAAATTTTTTAATTAATTATAAGTCAATAATACAAAATTATAATTACAACTACACCTATTCATTTAATTTTCTATACCATTTAGTCCCAAATAATTATGTACCATCATTATGCTTAAATCAACCGTATGAATATCCAATATAAAATTATAGGCCACTGAAAGCCAGTAACCTGAAGATGATCCCAACAACATGAATCTGCCAATTAATGGTGATGCTGGATGGACCTGACCTCAATCTACTGCCCAAAGAGGGATGACGAGACCCTACGTTCACAGAACTGGCGGAGATCATGCACCTGGAAACAGAGGGGTCACGAAGCTTTGACCGGACAGTTGCAAAATGGTAGATTGAAATTGATTAGATACGTTAACTCTTTCGCCATGGATCGATGATTACCGAAGTAAGGCACCAATCAACAAAAAGAGATCCATTTAATCCCTCGGGCTTGATTAAGAAACATGATGAAATAGGGTCATCTAAATACAATGAAATTCAAAACTTGATCGGCCTAGGAAATTGATTCCTGTCGTGTTCTTCCTTTGCATGAATAGAAGCCGGATTTTCTTTCTGTCTGAATTGATAGTGAAACCCGAGAACCAAAGTACAGAACAAAGAAGGGAATTCACCCACCTTCAATCGAAGGTCGTACCAACATACTTTCTCAAATCTCAGTCCCTCGAAATTTTCCAGGGATGGGCAAATTGAGTTATAAATACAAAGAAATTAAATATTTGTTTTCTTGGACATGAAAAGAGCAGAAGAAGAAATTACATAATACAGAGCATAGCAGTAACCAAGGATTTCATGTTGAAGAAGAAAGTACAGAGCATAGCTGCACCGAAGGATATGGATGCTCTCTCTCAATCATTTAATACATACGTAAATGATTTGTTTAAATATAGCAAATGGTGAAGTTATTGTGGTACTCTCGACAGTAAAAAAGGAAGTTATTGTGGGACTAAAGTGTACAACATAATTAATTAATGAGTATACATGTAATTATAATTATTAGATATTACCAATTATAAATAATTAATTTATTAGTGTGAACATAGGCGTACCGCGTACGTCAGGTGTATACTAGCCTTTGCCATATATATATATATATATATATATATATATATATATATATGGTGACTTCTACGGTGCCCAGGGCAAAACCCGGGTACGGGTGCCTTGGCCGATCTTAACCGTTCGTTTTCAATCTCCACGGCTCACGTTTGTTAAACCTAGCTGCGCCACTAAATAACTAAACAAATTACAAATTGCCTCCTCCGCGTTAAGTTAGTTTTCATCCTAGTCCAACTAACTGCCCCGGTTAAATTAAATGGATTAAGACCCAAACCCAATTGGGTAGACCAACTGCCGCCCAAACCAATTTCCAGTCTCCCTAACCAATTACACGATCCCTCTCTCGTCTTGGAGGGACGCCCCTTCACAGTTCCAAGAGAAGCTCCCCATCCACATTCGACGTAGATTGAATTTCCCAAAATAATTTTGTCTTGTTTCTTCTTCGCCAGTGTATTTCCCCTCGCCTATCTCTTTCTAACACGATTACGGCGACCATGTCTATTATTGTGTTCATCGAACTTTTCATTTGGAAAAAAAACCCTTGAAAGAGGTTTGCTAACCCTAGGGTTCATGTCACTAGTGCTTTGTCATCTTGTCTTAGCGTTATTGTGATTATATCTCTCGGTGAAATTAAGGTTTCCTGATATGCAGTGTTCGTCTCGCCCAGAGGATTGAGGAAGGAGATGAAGAAGACCTAATTTGATTCGAATCAGATGGAGAGGTCTCCTTAATTTGTGTTTATGTATTAACGCTGCGTTTAGGACTAATTCTAGTTGGACTGGGTCTGATCATTGATTTTTGCAGGCTTTTAAATAACATTCAAACGTGGGCTTGTACATGACCCATGAAATATTCAAAATTGGGCCTGGAACGTGCGAGCCCATTAGTTTTCTCCTGCGGTATCAGCGCCAACCCTAGTTTAACTAGATTTAGTTACCCTAGTTTAACCTACACGAGTTAACATCATCATTACTACATATCTTCCCAAATCTTCTAACTCTTGACATTCCAGACTCAACCGTCTCCATCACACGTCTCCACACTCAACCCCCACTTTTTCTTACACCTACAATCTCTCTTTCCCTACAATCTCTCTTTCCTCCATCTTCACCTTCCCTTGTTCCTTCTTCCTCTGACTCCATGGCAAACATGGGCATTCTAACTCTATCAAACGACGACTGCCGAACCACCACAAGTCTCGCGGACTATCTTTCATTCACGAGCAAGACATCTATTGTGGCTGAGTACGAGTTCATCAACCTGAGTCCTTTCCCTCAAGAAGTTAAGAAGTTAATTAAAAATCTTGGCTCGGAAAAGTTCTTCGATCTCCGGAGTCGAGGAAGCACCAGTTACTGCCCGCATGTGGTGAGGAAGTTCTACCACAATTTAGAGCTGTCTGGTCCCTCCGATTCTCATCTCGTGTCGATCTTCCTGGGTCATAGAGTCTGCTTCCAGCCTCATCAGTTTGCTGAGATCCTCGATCTCCCCGCCGCAGGACACCACATTGATAGCAGAAGCGATCTTCGGCGGCTGTACGATTTTGATTTTGAAGTTGAACTGGGGAAACTGACGAATGGG